TGTGCGCGTCCTCCGGCCGGCGTGCCGCCCGGGCACCTGCGGAGGGGTGGTCATCTCGGAGCTGGAGCGGTACGGCGATTCTACGCGTTTAAAAACAAAACAACAAAAAACCCCCAAACAAAACCAGCCGGTATTTTTTGGGGATGCTTATGTGGAGGACTTTCTTCGAGTACATCGAGAGAAGACCTGCGCTAAATTTATGGCACGGGGCTTTAAGGAGGCTAATTCTCGTGTGTGCTCGTTTGTGTGTGGTGTTAATGCAAAGATTAATAAAATACCAGTATGCAGTGCTTAAAGACCCAAGAAGGATTGTTAAAGCACAAAGGTACTGGAGTACGAACACCCAAGTTGACGTGATGTGTTTCTGATTGCTGTGCTGCCATCCTCCAGTCCTTCTTGTTGCATTTGTACTTTGCTGCTGAAGTCCCTGCAGAGATGTAGGGTATGGGTTTTTGCCTACACAGGGCAGTTGGTGTTAAGGGACATCTATCTGCCTTAATTTTGTATTTACGTGCACCTGCAAGATCTGGATAGGAGTAAAAGCTTTGCGGGTTTCCCCGTTAGAAATCACTTGATTAGGCTCCTGCTTTCTTACCTGTGATACTGTAGTCTTCTTACTCTTATCTAAAATTTCTTGTTTAAGCCATTTATTATTCTAGAAATGCAGTGGAAACTGTAGACGTTCAGTATCACAGCTGTAAGTGACAAATGCTGGCTTAAACACTAACTGTTAGCTAGTGATGCTTACCGGTGTCACTAAAAAAATAAAATCAGTCTGCTATAGAACGAAGGTATTTGCCCTGAGTGCAAGTAGTTGGAATTGTACCGATGCTAGTGATGAGATACGCAAGTGCCAAATGCAACTTCTTTTCCTTTATGAAAACAAAAATAGAAAAGAAACTTGGTAGTAAATGGTAGTCAAAGTTACTGTTTTTCAGGTAGTGGGCAAGATAACATCAGCTAGAGTGTACTTAAGGTTAAGAATGATAGACATAGTCATGTTGTAATTGTAAACGTGAGTGGTGTTACTTGACAGTAATTTGCTAAGTGTCATATACAAAGAAATACCTCTATTTTACTACTGAGAAGTACTTCAGAGAAATTCAGATCCTGTTATAACTTCAGAGTTGTAGCACTTTATAGCAGCTCTTTGTCAGTGCATGAAGACTGGATATGTTTGGGTTCTGGAGACAGTTTGGGTCTTGTACAGCACCCATGAAATACCTTCTAAATTTCCTGTTCAGCCTTTGTATTTAAAGTATGAATTAAGTCTTTCTCTATTTGTATGTTTATGTTTTTTTTTTTAATTAGCTGCTCTGTCAAAATACAAATAAAGTGGGTACATGTCAAAACAAATGATGTAACAGTTACATTAAAGTGTGATCTATTTTGTAGCCTTAAATTGGAATGTGAGAAACTGGCAAGCGAAAAGACAGAAATGCAGAGGCACTATGTGATGGTAAGTGTATTTGGTTTTTCTTTATTTCAGCTATTTCCTAATACAGTGTAAACCAGCATAAGAGAATAATGTTTGCTCCTTTATTTGCAGTATTATGAAATGTCATATGGATTAAACATTGAAATGCACAAACAGGTAAGGCATTTTGTTTTCTAAACCACAAAATGTGCAGTCTGTCCGATGCATTTAAATGTAGCTGTTCTGTTTATGTTCAGATATATCTGTACCTGTATGATGCACCTGAATTAATAGGCTGATTTGTAGCTGTGATTAGTAAACCTTAGCCTACCTGCTGTCAAATGAAGTTATGTTGAGCAGCAAGGCTTTTTCTTGGTATTGGTCCTAAAAGATTTTTGGCAAAAATAGGAAAGATCTTGTGTCTGTGGCTTCAAAAATATAATTCAGTGCTTTATGTGGTTTTATTTTGTTAGTAGTAAAGTCTTTGGTGTATAGAACTGGTCTTATGTGTGTGTAGCATATGTAGTGATAGTTGCTCAAATCTGTGCCATTTAAAAGGCATGAAAAGATTAGTGACTTGGAAAGCTGTAGTTATGACTATGAGTTTGCAGGTTCCCATAAAATTCACACTTATGGCCACTATAATGGTGAATAAAAAGAGCGTTGAACTGGAACAAGACACTAAGGACCTCGTAAGAGAAGAAAAGCTAAATGATTGCTCAGCCCAGAGGACCCTCAATTGAGTAGTCATTGTCTGCCAAATAAAGCATTAATGGCAGGGTGTAAGTATTCTGTAGATATGCTGACATTCACTTTTTCATCAAGATGCTGGTACAATAAGTCCTTCAGAAATCGATGGCCTCTTAAAAAAAATTATCATTAGATGAAGTTGCACAGTTGGACACATTTCAAAGTGCAACAATACAATTCTTTCTTGATGTGTATGTGCTGTTTCATCTAAAACTCTTGTTTCATTAAATTAAAGAGCATGGCTGACCGGCTAGGGCACAGTGAAGAAATTGATTAGTTCAGGCTTTGGATCTTCAGTATATTCAAAGACTTTCATTAAACAAGTGAATTGCAGAGTTGAATTTTGCTTTTGTAACGGAACTCTTTGATATTTTGTTTGTTTGTTTGGGGGTTTTTTGTTTTCCCCTAAAAATATATATGTGATAAGGTAGTATTGTAACTTTCTGTCTGCAAACCTGGGTAGGTATTCTCTTGGTTTCCAGAGGTATGCTTGTTTGAATCCAAAATGCTGGTAAAAGTAGTAGTACTGTGACAACCTTTTTTTTTTAAGTAATGCACCAAATAGGTAGACAGAACAATTAGAGTAGTGTTTGACTTGATTCTGTACTGTAGCTGCATCAGTTGTTTTGGAAGAATGTCAGTTTTTCTGTGAGGTGGCTTTTCCAGACATTGTGATTTGGAGATTTCATTCTGGGATTTTTTTTTTTTCTTCCCCTAAACGAATCTTTCTCACACTGTAACCTGTGAGGAAGCCAACATCTGTATAGGAGCCTCATTTGGCATGAAATGGATGTTTTCAGAAGATCTTTGAAGAGAATGTGTGACTTCAATAAATGTACTAGAAATTAACTTTAGATAAAATCAATTAAGCCCACAAGATTAAAGAGTGTCAGAGCTGAGGTTTCCACTTTGACCTTAACATCTGTGTATTGCAAGGGTTTAATGTTCTGTATGTATGGCAACTGTAATTACATATCCACTAGGCAGCAATACTTCGGAAGCTTTTAAGATTTATGACAGAGCATAATACCTATGTTGGCTCTAGCTGAGGGGAGAGTAAGGCACGCTTGTTTTGTGTGTGCTGTTAAGAAACGAATAAGCTTTTCAAGGCATAAATTCATTTCCCTGGATGAGTCTCAGGTACTATGCTTTTACATGTTAAGTAATTCTGATTTCCAATAAAAATAGCACCTTCATGTTAAAGACTCTTGATTTAGAAGCCTGCGATGAGGATGCTAAATGGTGTTAAAGTTCAGTATGTAGGTGGTCTTAGATTACAGGAAACAAAAAAAACCTAGCAATGACACTCCTCTGAATTTTCACCACTAGTGATAAGTTGTAAGGAGGCTTTTGGCAGATAGTAATCATAATTCTTACTAAAACTGGTGATGTCTAGCCCCAAGGGAGTAGCCAAGCTCAAATTGATGCTTTTTGCTGGCTAATCACCAGCATGGCCTAAGTGCTCATTATGTTGTAGAGAGGGCCTTCGGAGCTCTCATTACGTTTGACAGGAATTTTCTCTAGGGGGAAACTGGGCATTAGCTAGACTCCTGACAGGCTGAAATTATTCCTGCTTTATGGCTTATAACCAAATGCTAGCAAGGCGTCATCAGGGGACATGAAAAATTGTCATTTCTGACAACATCTTTGTTACTGAAAAATGCAGTGATGGGGAAACCTTCCACTAAACAAGCTTTAACGTTTTTAAGGCCTGCCTCTTATGTGGATGCTGTACTCTGTGTGAAGCCCTTCAGAGTGCTTGGCTTACTGATTGAAAAACAAAAAATTACACTGCAGCAGTGTTTCTGCAGTGTGGTGCGTACATCATTGTAAAGGTCGAGTCACTTTGATAAAATTAGGTAGTTGCAGTTTGCCTGTGTATGTTGACTTCTTGTACTAATACAGTTGCACCAGCAGTTCGCTCTTCATTTAATTTAGTAATCTAATTGACTAAATCAAAGTTAGTCGGGACTTGAATGATGCTATAAACAGACAATTGGGTGAACTTTCCATGCACAAACAGCTGTACTGCGGAGCTTTGCACTTGAAAACATTGTGTTTGAGTCCATAAATGGCCATGGTAAGGCTTCCATCACAACTTTAGCTTCGGCACTTTGCAGTGTTTAATTACGTAACCGTGTGCTTAAATATTGATGCTGCTGGATTTCAGTCTGCTGACTGAACAGTAGTTGGGAAATAATGTTTTTGGCATATTTGTGGCTGGTTTGTGGGTTGGCATTTTTTTTTGGTCTTGCTTCTCTGAGTTTTTTTTTATTTTACTTTTTCTAAGAATTTCAAAGGTTAGCTTGTGAGAGGGTGTTGTGTGTGGATTCTTACACTGTTTTCAGAAAAATTACTTTAATGTGAGTAGTTACTAAGTTTTGCATACCTGCAGCAGAAGCAAGCACTTGAGGATTCATTTAGGATAGATGCACTTGATTCAGATATTTTTCATATGTGTCAAGAAGACAGAATGAGTAAGAACATATTGTGCGGTCTAAAGTTTCTCTTCTGTGTTACACTGTCCAAGTCGGATTCCTCACTGTGATGTCCATGGCTGGCAAAGCAGATGCATCAAATGCTAGTGCCAGGGTGTAGAGTTGGTTGGGTGTTAAAATCCTTCTGGATTGGCCCTTGACTATTAGGGCAGTGCCTCTTTATTTTCACCAGCTCTGTCATCTTATGTCATAAGTCAGAAGATAAGGCTTCCTGTGAGTTTAATGACTAGATTGTTTAGGTGCAAGATTAGCTCTTGTTCAGTGGCAGGCAGCCAAAGAAAGAAAAATTCATCACTGCTGAATCAACTGACAGACTGTATAAACTACTACAGTGTGTGGGTTTCTGCTATCCCAACGGTGACAGCTAAGTTTCCGTCTCTTTGGGTGGGTTGTTGTGATCTCTTTGACCTGTCATTCAGTACCTTGCCTCTTGTAGAAAAATATACGAATTCCCAAACTGCATTATGTTAACTGGTTGTACAAGGGTTAAATGTCAGCTTTAGCCTGGACTGTTTTCTGGAATCACTTCTAATGCTCTATGGCAAACGACAGAATCTTGATAGAAGATTCTTCAGGAGTAGGTTAAATAGAAGTGAATTAATGAGTGAGTTAGCTCTCTACAGTTTGAGTAGCATGGTTGTGCTGTTGAGAGCGATTTAAAGATAATTTTTTTTTCCCTACTTGCGTTTTAATTATTGGAATGAAAAACTACATGAATTCTTAGCGTTTTGGGGGTCTGCAGTCAGTGTCTTAAGCATTTTACAGTTAACAGTGACACATAAGACATTCAAATCCTGTTTTTACTTAAAAGAGAAAATGGTAAGGTTGATTGGGGCATAATATTCCTCACTTAAAAAAACCCCCAACAAAACAACCAAAACAAAACAACAAAAAACCAACCTATTCTACAGTGTTGAGTTTGTCTCCAGTGCAGCCATTTCAGCCACAACTAGAGTTGCCAGTTTGAATGGGGAAGAAATACTAGAGTAATGACCTCGACTTTTGAACCACATTCAAGCTTGAGGCTAGCATTATTATTGCGAAGGAGTTATCTGACAGATTCGGGGCACTGTGTGAAATATATCACCATGTGGCTTTTAGATAACCATATTTTCAGATACTATCTGTTATGTCAACTCCATATACAACTTAATCCTAAAGTATGTCACAGTGTAAATGGTGTACATGTTAAATAGTTCCTGATCATCTCGCATTTTAGCCTTGGGTCTACCAGATTTCAGATTCCTTACAAAACTCTGGAGGGAGAGAGGAAATGCATTCCTACCACCTACGATTATAAATGTCCCTTGCATTGTTGGAACTTGTGTTACCAGATGCCTGTTGATGTACTTTATGGATTGGTTCAAGTGGGGGAAAAAAAAAGTCCTGGTATTTTTGAGGGCAGGGAGAAGTGTAAGAGGGAAGATACTTTGTGAATGTGCAGTACCATTCTGTCACAACAGATTCTGGGGGGAAAAGCTTAATGCATTTCTGCTAACTGTAATGCCAAATCAAGCTGAGCATTTGAATTGCTTTTCATTCCACTCTACTACAGCACTTAAGTGTTTGTAGCAAAGCGGTAAAATTGCATTGTGTCTCCTGTGCAAAATGGAAGATAGGATCTTCTAGGTTTGATAGTAGGGCACCATTGGCATACAGTAAAAGCCTTTAAAAACAATTTTAGGTTAACTGGTGCTTATCAGAAGACTTCGCAGTACTGTTATTTTAAAAATCATATCTGCTTTGAGTAGAACTAATGAGGTTATCCTTCCACTTGAGGTAAGATTTCTAAGCTATCTAATGGCAATTATGTCAAACACTAAAATTTTTATCTTTTGCATCACACTTTGTTGGACGGAATATTAACTATTTGGGCAATAGCAGTTGTTCACATAGTTCTTTTGAGAAAGGGGAAGAACAGCAGCTGAC